AGACAAGAAAATAAATCTTTTCTTAGAGAGACAAGAAAATAAATCTTCATCGGGATTTCCAAAAGTCGCCACATCGAATTTCGTGAAGCGCTAAACCAGTTGGGCCCCCCACAGAGTGAGGAACGGTGGAGGGTCGATCCTCCGTCCGTTCACTGGAGTCTTGTTTCACAGCAGTCGGGGTTGCTGGTAGGAGGAAGTAAATGGGTAAAATTGAATGAGTACTGTATGTTTCGGCCTCGGATTGTGTCCCTCTTCAGCAGACTGTAATGTGTAGGTATGGTCTCCTGTGTGGGCTTCTGTCACGTGACGTGCTCACTAGCGTCAAAGGACGATCATAGCATTGCAGTATCCTAGGAAGTGTACAATATAACATCATCCTAGGAGAACCACCACATAACGTTCCCACATTATCTGCACATGTGACCTGTTACCTAGGACACATCAGCAGGTCTACTCTTATTACTAACTGCCCATCCTGTCTTAACAACGACAGTTTCCATGAGCCAGTCTCTAAGTCTCTGCACACACACACACACACATAGAGTGAAGAGGCGGGGCCAAGAGCTATGACTTGGTCCCTGCAACCACAACTAGGTGAGTACACACACACACACAGTTGCTATCCGTGGTAATTCCACTGTTGCTGCCACTCTAATTGTTGATTTCTTGCACTCACGAAGGGGGGGGGGTCATATTAATTAGGCCAGGTTACACTGGTAGGCCTATTCCCTGCAAGTCTATTCATCATACTGCCTTTACCATATTTTCTTTTGCAGTTCATCCCCGGGACTGGATGAACTGCGGGTTAACAGTAAACTGCCACTTACTGGATGAGTTAAGGGTGCACAGGAAACTACCACTTACAGAGGATAAGCTGTGTGTGAGTACGGTAAACCACCTCTCATAATATAACGAATTTATTTTGACAATGTAAGAAGTGTGAGTCCTATTATAATGAAGTGATCAGTGTGGGAGTCTTATTATAATGATGTGAGTAGTGTGGGAGTCTTATTATAACAGTGTGAGCAGTGTGGGAGTCTTATTATAACAGTGTGAGCAGTGTGGGAGTCTTATTATAATGATGTGAGTAGTGTGGGAGTCTTATTATAACAGTGTGAGCAGTGTGGGAGTCTTATTATAACAGTGTGAGCAGTGTGGGAGTCTTATTATAATGATGTGAGTAGTGTGGGAGTCTTATTATAATGATGTGAGTAGTGTGGGAGTCTTATTATAATGATGTGAGTAGTGTGGGAGTCTTATTATAATGATGTGAGTAGTGTGGGAGTCTTATTATAACGTGTGAGCAGTGTGGGAGTCTTATTATAACAGTGTGAGCAGTGTGGGAGTCTTATTATAACAGTGTGAGCAGTGTGGGAGTCTTATTATAACAGTGTGAGCAGTGTGGGAGTCTTATTATAATGATGTGAGTAGTGTGGGAGTCTTATTATAATGATGTGAGTAGTGTGGGAGTCTTATTATAACAGTGTGAGCAGTGTGGGAGTCTTATTATAACAGTGTGAGCAGTGTGGGAGTCTTATTATAATGATGTGAGTAGTGTGGGAGTCTTATTATAACGGTGTGAGCAGTGTGGGAGTCTTATTATAACGGTGTGAGCAGTGTGGGAGTCTTATTATAATGATGTGAGTAGTGTGGGAGTCTTATTATAACAGTGTGAGCAGTGTGGGAGTCTTATTATAATGATGTGAGTAGTGTGGGAGTCTTATTATAACGGTGTGAGCAGTGTGGGAGTCTTATTATAATAATGTGAGTAGTGTGGGAGTCTTATTATAATGATGTGAGTAGTGTGGGAGTCTTATTATAATGATGTGAGTAGTGTGGGAGTCTTATTATAATGATGTGAGTAGTGTGGGAGTCTTATTATAATGATGTGAGTAGTGTGGGAGTCTTATTATAATGATGTGAGTAGTGTGGGAGTCTTATTATAATGATGTGAGTAGTGTGGGAGTCTTATTATAATGATGTGAGTAGTGTGGGAGTCTTATTATAACAGTGTGAGCAGTGTGGGAGTCTTATTATAACAGTGTGAGCAGTGTGGGAGTCTTATTATAATGATGTGAGTAGTGTGGGAGTCTTATTATAACGGTGTGAGCAGTGTGGGAGTCTTATTATAACAGTGTGAGCAGTGTGGGAGTCTTATTATAACAGTGTGAGCAGTGTGGGAGTCTTATTATAATGATGTGAGTAGTGTGGGAGTCTTATTATAACGGTGTGAGCAGTGTGGGAGTCTTATTATAATGATGTGAGTAGTGTGGGAGTCTTATTATAATGATGTGAGTAGTGTGGGAGTCTTATTATAACAGTGTGAGTAGTGTGGGAGTCTTATTATAATGATGTGAGCAGTGTGGGAGTCTTATTATAATGATGTGAGTAGTGTGGGAGTCTTATTATAATGATGTGAGTAGTGTGGGAGTCTTATTATAATGATGTGAGTAGTGTGGGAGTCTTATTATAATGATGTGAGTAGTGTGGGAGTCTTATTATAATGATGTGAGTAGTGTGGGAGTCTTATTATAACAGTGTGAGCAGTGTGGGAGTCTTATTATAACAGTGTGAGCAGTGTGGGAGTCTTATTATAATGATGTGAGTAGTGTGGGAGTCTTATTATAACGGTGTGAGCAGTGTGGGAGTCTTATTATAACGGTGTGAGCAGTGTGGGAGTCTTATTATAACAGTGTGAGTAGTGTGGGAGTCTTATTATAACAGTGTGAGTAGTGTGGGAGTCTTATTATAATGATGTGAGTAGTGTGGGAGTCTTATTATAACGGTGTGAGCAGTGTGGGAGTCTTATTATAACGGTGTGAGCAGTGTGGGAGTCTTATTATAACGGTGTGAGCAGTGTGGGAGTCTTATTATAACAGTGTGAGTAGTGTGGGAGTCTTATTATAACAGTGTGAGCAGTGTGGGAGTCTTATTATTAATGATGTGAGTAGTGTGGGAGTCTTATTATAACGGTGTGAGCAGTGTGGGAGTCTTATTATAACGGTGTGAGCAGTGTGGGAGTCTTATTATAATGATGTGAGTAGTGTGGGAGTCTTATTATAACAGTGTGAGCAGTGTGGGAGTCTTATTATAACGGTGTGAGCAGTGTGGGAGTCTTATTATAATGATGTGAGTAGTGTGGGAGTCTTATTATAACAGTGTGAGCAGTGTGGGAGTCTTATTATAACGGTGTGAGCAGTGTGGGAGTCTTATTATAACGGTGTGAGCAGTGTTGGAGTCTTATTATAACGGTGTGAGCAGTGTGGGAGTCTTATTATAACGGTGTGAACAGTGTTGGAGTCTTATTATAACGGTGTGAGCAGTGTGGAGTCTTATTATAACGGTGTGAGCAGTGTGGGAGTCTTATTATAACGGTGTGAGAAGTGTGGGAGTCTTATTATAACGGTATGAGCAGTGTGGGAGTCTTATTATAACGGTGTGAGCAGTGTGGGAGTCTTATTATAACGGTGTGAGCAGTGTGGGAGTCTTATTATAACGGTGTGAGCAGTGTGAGAGTCTTATTATAACGGTGTGAGCAGTGTGGGAGTCTTATTATAACGGTGTGAGCAGTGGTCTGAATAGTACACGAGTCTTGAGCTGCTCTCTAAGTTAGAATTTTCTACTCATCTAAATTCACTAAGACTTTGTGGACTAGGTGGAGTCTTAGGTTATAACATCTGTAGTCCTCAAGAAGATGAAGTTATTGGGTAAAAGTCCGTAGACTGAATTCCTATGAGTGAAGTTCTTTGGCTGAAGTCCTTTGATTGAAATTCTTGGACTGAAGCTCTTTGGGTTATGGGTTACAGGCTTAGAAGCCATAGTATGTGGCTTAGAGTTATTGTGTTTCATTAATGGAATTTTGACCTGGAGGACTTTCAGTCTAACTCTTCTCTGTATTGAAATTCTCGATGTTTCCTTTTTTTTCTACATACCCGTGTTGCAAACATCTTAAAAATGTCTTCGTTTCGTATTGTTAACCTCTTCTGTTGGCTAAATCTGCGAAGCTTGGCCAGGAGCTCCTTGCCGGAGATCAGGGATGCTGTGGTGTAGCAGCCTCCATCTTCACCCAAAGACTGTAGGGCAAAGAGGAAGACCCAGGTCAAGTCCTTTCCTGGTGGTGCAGCAGAAAGCTTATTATCATTATTAAGGTAGGTAAACGCTAAATCCGTAGAGGTCATACAGCGCTTTGACAGTGGGAGATAATCAGGTTTGATCTGAGGAAGGGAAGAGTAGCTCTAATTCCCTGAATCAAGAGCCCTTCACCAACAGTCTTAATGCTCTGACCACAATAACGTTATGCGTCGCCCTGGACTCCGACTTATCTATCGTTAGTACGAAGTTATCTACGATACACTGCTAACAACACTGGCAAATAATAATAAGCTAAAAATAACTGACGAAAACCAATTATTCTCACTGCGAATTTAGAAGAGTTAGAGCGAGTTTTTCTGCAAGTAATAATGAGGCTAAGTATTGTTATTGCTTAAAATGATTCAAGGAACCCCAATAATAGAAAATATGAGTGTATGTATAGAAGTTATTATTGGGTAAATCTGTCAAGTATTAACTTACAAACTTAAGTTCTAGTTAGTGAGATTCGGCAAATCGTTCTACCATAACTATTCAGTAACTCGTCTTGTGGTACCTTTGTTGTGAAAATTAAGATCATACTCTTTATATTTCTAAACTTATGTTTGTATATAGGTACTTAAATTACATTTGTACATTTAACTATGATAGGGATCAATGATGTCACAAAGAGAATGTTGTGACCATCACTGGAATGTTTTCTCTGCTACCTAGTATAATGACATCACTATATTAAGTGCTTCAAGACTTGATATCGCGGTATTAAGTGCTTCAAGATTTGACATCACGGTATTATGTGCTTCAAGACTTGACATCACGGTATTAAGTGCTTCAAGATTTGACATCACGGTATTATGTGCTTCAAGACTTGACATCACGGTATTAAGTGCTTCAAGATTTGACATCACGGTATTAAGTGCTTAAAGATTTGACATCACGGTATTAAGTGCTTCAAGACTTGACATCACGGTATTAAGTGCTTAAAGATTTGACATCACGATATTAAATGCTTAAAGATTTGACATCACGACATTAAGTGCTTCAAGATTTGACATCACGGTATTAAGTGTTTCAAGACACCATTAATATAGCCACACTCTTAAACAAATACATTTTTTCCAGTACAATTGAGCAAGGCAATCAGTGTACTGCACTCTAAACACTTTGTACATTCAAAATCACTTTTAACGCACTTGAGAACCGCATGTAAACCTGTCCACATTTAGACGAACTTATTTTCTTTCTCTGCCTGGCTAAATGTAGCTGTTTATTGCGGGCAATAACCAACAACCTTTTTAACAACCATTGCCCCTCTGCAAAGATAGTTATTGATATCATACATACATTCATTCCTCTCCTAATCTTTTTAAGCTATAAGTTGTTGCAGATCGCATGCAATTCTCTTCACTTTGCACGGATTCTATGCCCCTGACTCGGTTTGCGTAACTCTAGACAAAGTCTCTGAGCATCAGCGTCTGCATCTTGGGTCCCTCTTGGTCTGTATATTTGAAAAAGAGCTGCGGGACACCGTCAACATAGGTCACACTCTCATTTATCTTAGTCGCGTCCTCCGCGATCAATTTACCTCTCCTCTGGTCCCATATTACTCTTGTATTGTTAATTTTACCTTGAATCATGTACGAGCTTCTTTGGGCTTGTATAAACACGTTCTCCATCCCTCGGGAGTGTTGCTGTGGATGCTGCTGCTGTTGATGGGGATACTGCGGTGAACTGCCCTCCAGAGGGCTTTGCGGCCTCTTCATCTGGATGGAGATGGCGGCGTTGTTGTTATTATTATTATTGCTGGAATCTGTGTAGTGCGGGTATCGCACGTGAAAAGGGGCTCTGGCTTTGGCTTCAGGCAGAGGAGGCAGGTTGGCGGGATTCCAGTTGAGGGTTTCCACTGTTTCTGGCGACCCGATGCCCAAAATCGAGACGATTCTACCCGTGATGGCTGTCGAAGAGCCTTGAGAGTTGCTTCCGTAGGTCTGCCGTTGTTTCCACCGACTGAGCCTCCTGACGATGGAAGGAGAAACAGGGAATGGTGTAAAATAAACAAAACCTCGGTTTACAGCATACACAAGTTGAGAGACAATGGCTGCTCAAACACGGAACTTGGGAGAAGAAAACCACTTGCAGATCCTACAATAACTCAGTGGCAGAGCGTGTGATAAATCTATTGCAGATTTTACGGTGACTCAGACTGAAGGGTAACTCACCTACAGATGAGCTCAGAAGCCAAGGCGATAGCGGCCGCAATGATACCGATGGCTGTTAGAGCGTAAGTGGTGAAGAAGTCTTTGTTCTGGAGGCTACGATCCTTGAAGCCCTTGGGCAACGTGCAGACGGGGCTGCTGGAGGTGGCGTTGTCGTGCAGAAAGTTGAGGATCCCGAAGAACGACAGACGGCGAAAGCTGAAAAAATGGAAGGGCTAGAAGGAGAGAGGCGAAAGAGGAAAGTTTTTTTGAGATTAAAAAGCAGATTTTTTCTATTTTTTTTGTATCTGAGCTTTTGTTGATTTTCACGCCTTTTTCCATCACTTCGTGTTATTTTTTTTTAAAAGAAAAGCTCTTTCACGTTTCTCCAGGTCTCTGACTCCCTCTCTTAAACACCTACAGATATTTAGTTTTCCCCTCTTGCGTTCCTCTATTTCTCTATTTTCCCTTCTCACACTCATCCTTCTGACACTTTTCAGGCCTCTAGCTCCACCCCCTACACCTCTTCACATCTCTAACACTGCCTCTCACAGATCTTTACTACGACTCTAGCTCCTCTTAAACACTCCTCCACATCCCTAACCCTCCCTTCCCATACTCCCCTCAATCTTCATGGGTATTAAGACACAATTTGCAGAACAAGTCTTTATTGGGATTACGTTTCGTTGCATCAAATCATGAAGTTTAGCTCTGAGCAAAGCGTAGTTCCCTTAAATTCCTGTTCTATATATTTTTTAATATTCATACCTGTCTGCTTGACGACTCTACATCCCCACTGGAGGACACATGTCCACACTGTGAGGTGCTCCGTCGGACTCCCCAATCTCACTCCTAGTCCCCACAGCCTTCATGCCTCTAACTCTGTCCACCCACCTCTTCACACGGAAACACAATCACACAGCAACTTACTAGTCACACAGAAATAGTCACACAGCTTTATTAGAAAACGTTTCGGTCCTGTCACCCTGAAGTGATCAAGATCCCTGAACCGAAACTTTTTCTGATATCTCCTGGTGTTGTTTGCTTACGTGTTTTTTTAAAACCACTTGCCAGCATCGATCACCAACGTTTATACCAAACACACAAAAACACAATCACTCAGAGACACAATCACGTGAAAATGCAATCGTACAAAATACAGTCATTTCGAAGAATGCATCAACAAGGGCAGAAGAACTCTCAACTCACAATTCGTTGAAAAGCTCCTTGTACTCGCTGTCTTTGCGGAAGCCGTAGCCAAACCAGAAGAGGAAATCCTTATCATTGGCGCTGGCCAGGGGTGTTATGTAGAAATTGCACATATCGCTGGCGTTGTCCCTGCGCTGCGTCTTGAAGTCCTCCCGCAGCAGGTACTCCAGCACCTGCATGTCGTCGATGAACACGTACTCTGTGGAAGGAGAGAGGTGTTTGTCGTGTTTTTATAGGGCAACTTGACAGCTGACGTCGTATATCGAGCCCTATTTCCTTTTCTGCTAACTACCTGGCACTGGCCTTAGTCCTGGACTTTTTCCAGGCCTTGGTTCTGGACCTGTTCCAGGCCTTCGTCCTCATTTTTTGTCGAGTTTCCCATCATCGATCTCTCCCACTATTCCTTCTTTTCTTGCTCTTTTTAACTCACAATGATACATACGACAAGGGGAGTATATCTCTTAGTGCATATATACACTGAAAGTTTGCCATATCTCTGTTATGGGATTAATATTTCCTTGACTAGTGATTAAGCCTTAATACCCTCGTGCAGTCGTTAAGCTTCGAACCCAATTAACCAATCAATGTTCTCAGCAACAGACTATACAGTCTGTATCATCTCTATCTCTCTCTCTCTCTCTCTCTCTCTCTCTCTCTCTCTCTCTCTCTCTCTCTTTCTCCCACACTTACTGTTCGTTCTGACGAGTGCGACAGCTTCGGCCCTGGAGGTGACGAAGCGACCTCGTCCTGCTTTCTGCAGGTCCCGTAAGATCTGCAGCCTTGGGTGGGTCTGCTGGTCAGGTAAGTACAACCGGGAGGGAGCAGCAGAACACGATACGAAAAAAGAAAATACAACATATTAGAGATATATTTAACTAAGTCACATTATTATTATTATTATTATTATTATTATTATTATTATTATTATTATTATTATTATTATTATTTATTATTATTATTATTATTATTATTATTATTACTTTAATTCTCTTAACAGGAAAAGAAAAGGGGCGAGGCTTCTTAACCCTTTCAACTTCTTCTAAGGGAAAAGGTAATGTTAAACCCCTGCCTGTGGTCACAGGCGTCTGGGGATCACCTCTCATGTGAATATCGCAGAAACGAAAGATACAAAACATTTTTTAATGGAGGAAGGGGGGGGGGAGGAGAGAAACCTTGATGATGTCAACGATCTCATCCAAGGATCTGTAGTAAGCCTTCTATGGCTCAAACCTGTTCCAGTCCTTCCTTCCCCAGGGAATTTATGGCCCCCTTACGGATACTTACGGAGATGACTTCAACGAGAGCACCATCAGTGAAGGCGAGCCAAGTGAGACTGTGGATCTTGCGCAGGTCTTCCACAGTGGTGATGGGCAGCTGTAAGCCGTTGAAGGTTAGGAAGGCTGTGAGGTTGGCGGTGTAGAAGGAGGTGACTAGGGTGATGAAGAGCCACCAGGTAGCGAAGAGAATCCTTGAGGAGTCTAGTGGTGGGAGGGAGAGGAGAAAAATGAGGACACATCTGCATCACTTGGTTATCTTTATAGCAGAAACATTTCGTCAATAAAGATATCTACGTGTTACACATGTGTCTTATTCATCAACTTGTCTATATTGTTTACTATTAATATACGGGAAGGAGAGAGACAGAGGAGAGAAGAAGAAGAAGAAGAAGAAGAAGAAGAAGAAGAAGAAGAAGAAGAAGAAGTTACGTGTTTCATTACAATAAGTCATTTTTGACCATCTTTTAATACTTTCCATGAAATAAAATTTTAAACTCTTCTGTCTGTATAATATTCCACACAAAGAGTCTGTCTTAACCTCCTGTCCTTACTAAGCCAATAACAATGAGTTCATCTCTATCTCTGCCACCTACCATAAGTGGGTTTGAGTTCACTGCCCTGCCTCATCATGGCACCGTAGACGAACCACATACAGCGGTGGAGAGGCAGAACACGGCTGACGTATGACTCTCTCTTACACAGCCTCACTCGTACTACGATCACCAGGTAGATCAGAGGACCGAACACCAGGGTGGCCACCAGGATCATCCACCACACCTGAGGGAGAGTCAGGGTGAGTCAGGGAGAGTCTGGGAGAGTCAGGGAGAGTCAGAGAGAGTCAGAGAGAGTCAGGGAGAGTCAGAGTCAGGGAGAGTCAGGGTGAGTCAGGGAGAGTCAGGGAGAGTCAGGGAGAGTCAGGGAGAGTCAGGGTGAGTCAGGGAGAGTCAGGGAGAGTCAGAGAAAATCAGGGAGAGTCAGGGCGAGTCAGGGTGAGTCAGGGAGAGTCAGGGAGAGTCAGAGTCAGGGAGAGTCAGGGAGAGTCAGGGAGAGTCAGGGTGAGTCAGGGAGAGTCAGGGAGAGTCAGGGAGAGTCAGAGAGAGTCAGGGAGAGTCAGAGAAAATCAGGGAGAGTCAGGGCGAGTCAGGGTGAGTCAGGGAGAGTCAGGGAGAGTCAGAGAGAGTCAGGGAGAGTCAGAGAAAATCAGGGAGAGTCAGGACGAGTCAGGGTGAGTCAGGGAGAGTCAGGGAGAGTTAAGGAGAGTCAGGGTGAGTCAGGGTGAGTCAGGGAGAGTCAGGGTGAGTCAGGGAGAGTCAGGGAGAGTCAGAGAGAGTCAGGGAGAGTCAGAGAGAATCAGAGAGAGTCAGGGTGAGTCAGGGTGAGTCAGGGAGAGTCAGGGAGAGTCAAGGAGAGTCAGAGAGAGTCAGGGTGAGTCAGGGGGAGTCAGGGAGAGTCAGGGAGAGTCAGGGAGAGTCAGGGTGAGTCAGGGTGAGTCAGGGAGAGTCAGGGAGAGTCAGAGAGAGTCAGGGAGAGTCAGAGAGAGTCAGGGAGAGTCAGGGAGAGTCAGAGAGAGTCAGGGAGAGTCAGGGAGAGTCAGGGAGAGTCAGGGAAGTCAGAGAGAGTCAGGGAGAGTCAGAGAGAGTCAGTGAGAGTCAGGGTGAATCAGGGCGAGTCAGGGTGAGTCAGGGAGAGTCAGAGAGAGTCAGGGAGAGTCAGAGTCAGGGAGAGTCAGGGTGAGTCAGGGAGAGTCAGGGCGAGTCAGGGAGAGTCAGGGAGAGTCAGGGTGAGTCAGGGAGAGTCAGGGTGAGTCAGGGAGAGTCAGGGAGAGTCAGGGAGAGTCAGGGAGAGTCAGGGAGAGTCAGGGAGAGTCAGGAAAGCTGAAGGAGAGAGAAAAGGGAAGAATGAGAAAGGATGATGGAGAGAATCAGAGAGGATGTGTCATTGTACGAGAGAGAGAGAGAGAGAGAGAGAGAGAGAGAGAGAGAGAGAGAGAGAGAGAGAGAGAGAGAGAGAGAGAGAGAGAGAGAGAGAGAGAGAGAGAGAAAGAGAGAGAGAGAATTCTTCAAGTCCTGACGACACAGGGATGAACATGGCAACTATCAACTAAAAACAGAAATTTGGTTCGCTGGGGATGGTTGAATGTGAATAATAGAGGCTCGATCCTCCGTCTCCTAGGCAAATATATTATCATCTCACGCAGGACTTTTCCCAGTCGAAATATCTTTACAGGGTTAAGAAATAACACTATTTCCTTCCTTCCTCTCTCCTTCCCTCCCACCTTCTCCTCCTTCTCTCACCTCATAGCTGAAGGGCTTAAGGAGTGCGTCTGGCTTAGGTGAGTCGTGAGGTCTCTTGACCAACACACCGTAGGATGTGGTCCCCAGCAAGACCGTGAAGTCCAGGACCTCCTGCCTGGCTGTCGTCAGCGTCACCGGCAGCAGTGTAAGCTCAGCTGCCTGTGGGCGGAACAAGTCAGATCAACCACCTGTGGGCGGAACAAGTCAGATCAACCACCTGTGGGCGGAACAAGTCAGATCAACCACCTGTGGGCGGAAGAAGTCATATAAACCACCTGTGTGAGGAACAAGCCAGTTCAACCACCTGTGGGAGAACAAGCCAGTTCAACCACCTGTTTGAGGAACAAGCCAGTTCAACCACCTGTGGGAGAACAAGCCAGTTCAACCACCTGTGTGAGGAAAGAGCCAGTTTAACCGCCTGTGGAAGGAACAAGCCAGTTTAGCCACCTGTGGAAGGAATAAGTCAGTTCACCCACTTGGGGAAGGAACAAGCCAGGTAGGTGGTTTCAGGAACCTAATATACAGTACTAAGAACTATAGACCAAAAACAATACACTGTGGGACTTGGACTCGTCAAGGGAGCGAGTGCCTTGCTGCTCGTGAAGGGCTCTTGATCAAAGCAGTTGGAGGTACCCTCCTTGAGTAATAATAATAATAATAATAATAATATTAATAATAATAATAATAATAATAATAATACAATAATAATAATAATAATAATAATAATAATAATAATAATAATTTAAATGCAGTCTTGTTTTTTTTAACCCAAATGGAAATAAGTCGGTTCTGACGTGATGCAAAAGGGAGAAAACATTTCCGTGGGAAGATACACAAGAATTCTACGGTGATAGCACGCACGTTTTCATTTAAATTTTCATTTTGAGAGTGAAGGACAGGAGGTAAGTCTTACCTTGCGGTCAATCAGGTCCAGGACTCCTCTCCACTTGCCTTGCTCCCCCTTCAGGCCAATGAGGTCCTCCTCCGCCATCAGGGGCACGGGGGTGAAGTTGAAGTAGTTAGCCAGGGTTAACATGAGCTCCCAGCTCATGCCCCTACCCTGTACCCTGCTGTTGATCCCACCACCTCCTCTTGTCACATGCACGAAGGGTGGATACTGAAGGAGAAGAGAAGATGGTGGTGATGGTAGTTGTGGTGGTAGTGGTGGTGATGGTGGTTGTGGTGGCAGTGGTGGTGATGGTGGTTGTGGTGGCAGTGGTGGTGATGGTGGTTGTGGTGGTTGTGGAGGTGATGGTGATTGTGGTGGCAGTGGAGGTGATGGTGATTGTGGTGGTTGTGGTGGCAATGGTGGTGATGGTGGTTGTTGTGGTTGTGGTGGCAGTGATGGTGATGGTGATTGTGGTGGTTGTGGTGGCAGTGGTGGTGATGGTGGTTGTGGTGGCAGTGGTGGTGATGGTGATGGTGGTGGCAGTGGAGGTGATGGTGGTTGTGGTGGCAGTGGTGGTGATGGTGGTTGCGGTGGCAGTGGTGGTGATAGTGGTTGTGGTGGCAGTGGTGGTGATGGTAGTTGTGGTGGCAGTGGTGGTGATGGTGATTGTGGTGGCAGTGGAGGTGATGGTGATTGTGGTGGCAGTGGTAGTGATGGTGATAGTGGTGGCAGTGGAGGTGATGGTGATTGTGGTGGTTGTGGTGGCAATGGTGGTGATGGTGGTTGTTGTGGTTGTGGTGGCAGTGGTGGTGATGGTGATTGTGGTGGTTGTGGTGGCAGTGGTGGTGATGGTGGTTGTGGTGGCAGTGGTGGTGATGGTGATGGTGGTGGCAGTGGAGGTGATGGTGATTGTGGTGGCAGTGAAGGTGATGGTGATTGTGGTGGCAGTGGAGGTGATGGTGATTGTGGTGGCAGTGGAGGTGATGGTGATTGTGGTGGCAATGGTGGTGATGGTGGTTGTTGTGGTTGTGGTGGCAGTGGTGGTGATGGTGGTTGTGGTGGCAGTAGTGGTGATGGTGGTTGTGGTGGCAGTGGTGGTGATGGTGGTTGTGGTGGTGGTGGTAATGGTGGTTGTGGTAGCAGAGGTGGTGATGATGGTCATGGTTGCCATGGTAGACAAAGTAAGGGTTACAATAGCAGCAATAATAATAATGACAGTAGTAATTACGGCAGCATCAATAAAGGTAACAGTACTAACAGTATTACTTAATAAAAGAAGTGTGTTAATTATAGCAAAGTCAGTTATGTTCTTACTGACATAACAGTTATTGTGATGGATAATAACTGATAAAACACACACACACACACACACACACACACACACACACACACACACACACACACACACACACACACACGCACGCACACACACACGAAACGCCGTAAAGCAGGGCCCTACTGTAAAATAAATGAAACAAGGAGAAGAAGAAGAAGAAGAAGAAGAAGAAGAAGAAGAAGAAGAAGAAGAAGAAGAAGAAGAAGAAGAAGAAGAAGAAGAAGAAGAAACACATATGCAGTTTAATGTGATCCTTTAAAAAGCCCACTGTGTGGGCGAAACGTTGTCAACAAAGGATCATATTAAACTGCGTATGTGTTTCTGTTTCCATTGTGTCGGTATTTCATACCATTTATTTTCATCAAAAAGAAGAAGAGGAAGAAGAGGAAGAAGAAGAAGAAGAAGAAGAAGAAGATGATGATGATGATGATGATGATAATGATGATACGAAAATAGGTATAGAAATACACTCGGCAGAAGACGCGACAAAAAAAAAATGATTGGTGATAGCTGGTTAGCTTAATTGGGTTTGAATCCTATCGGCTACACTATAATACATTAACTACACTGCAACAGCACTAGAAAAAGAGGGATTAAAGTTTGCTTTAATCTCTAAAAAGTAAGGATTACATTACAAAATAACCCGCACATAGGAGAGCGAAAGTTATGACGACGTTTCGGTGCTACTTGAACCCCTCGAAGAAAATGCTGCAATTTTCGATGGACTTTTGACATTTTTGAAGGAAAATACGGGCGATGTGCACGTTTCGAACATAAAATAAATACAATATAAACGAATTATCAAAGTTTCAACACATAATTTTGATTATTTCAAATTATTTTGAAAATATACGATAGAAACACTCCGTAAATAATTGAGAGAAACATAAAAGAGGAATCACTGTAAAGACGCGACACTTAACCCTGACAACGTTTCGCCCTGTGTAAAACTTTATCAAGCCGTGGCCTGATAAATCTCTACTAAGAGCGAAACGTCGTCCCGACAAAGCTCATTTTAATAATTCCAAAGGGCAACTGACGAGACGAGTTAGAACTACTCTCCGCTTCCTCGCATCAAGGCTGTTTACCTCCTATAACCCCCTTAAGGGCTTAGAGCTCCCCCATTTATTAAAAATAATGGTTTTTATTTTAACGAGGACACTTACATTAATGAGAGCGAAGGGTATTGGTTTGCCTCCTAGATCAAGTGATGCTGGTTCTTGGCCCTCCATCATCCTGGTGATGAGCTGACTCCTGGTGACGATAGTGGTGACGGAGTAGTGGTGATGCTGGTAGTGACGGTGTGGTGGTGATGCTGGTAGTGACGGTGTGGTGGTGATGCTGGTAGTGACGGTGTGGTGGTGATGCTGGTAGTGACGGTGTGGTGGTGATGCTGGTAGTGACGGTGTGGTGGTGATGCTGGTAGTGACGGTGTGGTGGTGATGCTGGTAGTGACGGTGTGGTGGTGATGCTGG